TCCTCCTCCTCCTCCTCCTCCTCCTCCTCCTCCTCTTCTTCTTCCTCTTCTTCCTCTTCCTCTTCTCCTTCCTCTTCTTCCGCTTCTTCTTCTTCTTCCTTGAATAAGAGACCACCAAGGAAGTCTGGAGTTGTTATGTAAACAGGCAATGGCAACCTCTTTACATACCTTGCCCTGAAAACCCTCCATGGTTGCCATAAGTCGGCTGAAACTTGGTGACACAACTACTAAGCCACGTATTTGTTGGCCACAGAATATATAGTTCTACCCTTGGTGGCAGATCCTAACCATCTTTTCTTGGGCAGAACACATTTCTGCCAGCAGGAACTGGGGGGCAATTATTCCCAATTCTCTTCTTCTCCTCTCCCACTGTAGATCTCTACTTTTCCTCCCTACTGTTCTTCCATACTGTTCAGTGACCCACATAGACTTAAAGCAGATGATAAGCAGGTAGTTTGCCATTGCCTTCTTCTGCAGAGTGTTCCTTTCTGGTCTCCCACCCCAGTACTCACCCTGCTTAGCTTCCAAGATTGGATGAGATCAGACCATACCAGATGCCACCTTCCTGCAGATATAGATAGTCAGTTGTGAAGCATATGAAGCTCTTGCCAGGTATGAAGCAATATCATATAGTTGTGTCATCTGGTGCAACCAGAGCATTATTGTTTGGAAGCCTTTTCTGTACATCGTATTTTACCACAAAGAAGTCTAGGGTTGTTACCCAAGCAGGCAATGACCAACTACCTCTGTATGTTCCTTGCCTTGAAAACCCTCTGGGGTTGCCATAAGTCAGCTGGGACTTGACTGGACTTTCCACCACTGCATATAAGTGAAGATCCGTCAGTTGTTATCACTAGGCAACAAGTGCTCAATATTTGACCTTAGCTTTGAGGATCTTCCATCATGTGCACAAAACTCCAATGACAACTCTCTTTGGAATTTTTCACACTCAAAAGAGTTGTTGTGTAATGACATGTACACTTATGTAATCCGCAGCAGCAGGAAGTGCACTTGGAACCAGTGTTCCCTCTAAGCTGAGTTAGTGTGAGCTAGCTCACAGTTTTTTAGACTCCGGCTCACACATTTTTGTCTTAGCTCAGGAAAGATGGCTCCAGAGCAAACTAATGTATGCAGTAGCCAAATCGCTTGCTTACAGCTTTAATACCAGTAGCTCACAAAGTAGATTTTTTGCTCACAAGACTCCACAGCTTAGAGGGAACATTGCTTGGAACCATAGTCTTGGGCTTCACGACTTCTCCCATCTTGCTGCAGCCCACAGTGCAGCTCCTGGAGTAGCATGAGAGGGGAGTTGGAGATTTATTGTGGGAGCAGGGTATCGGTGGAAATAGCCCATCCCTTTGCATGCCTGGAAATGACTGGAGGAATCCAACCCATAGAGATGGGTAGAGTTGCCCCACAACACGTAGGCAAGCATCTCATGTGTGGTGCTCCCTTCATTTCCTTGGATTCGTCTCTCTTCCTGGATTACCTTCTTGTACTCAGCGGTTCCCCTCATCAGCATGGAAATAGCCAGGAATGTGCCCTCTGGTACATTTCCCTCTTCCATCCAGAAACAGATTATCACTCCCTACACCAGAGGACCCCAGTGTGGTGCCCATGGGCACTGTGGTGCCTGTGGGTGCCATGATGCCCGCCAACACCTTTTCTGGTGCATTCTGGTGTGCATTCAGCATAAACGGAGCCGTATCATTTAAGCCAAATACAGATCAGCGAATCTGTATAGCTGTATAAAAAGGTAAAGGTTCCCTTGCTCGAAAGCCAGTCGAATCCGGCTCTAGGGTTGCGGTGCTCATCTCCGTTTCAAAGCTGAAGAGGCAGCCATTTTATGGTTTGCTCCGCCTCCTTCCGCAGTTATTCTGTGGCAGCCGTTTTGTGGCCATGTCCACCATGCTCTGTCAGGATTTCAATGGTGCCCACTAGGCCTGCAGTTCAGCGTCTTAACCACTTGAGCCACCGCAACTGTATAGCTGTATAGCTGAGCCTAAATAAAGCCGATTTTTAAAAAGCTTTTATTCGGGATCAGCCAGGGTGGCAGGAGTGGTGATCCTGGGCTGGCTCCACTTGCAGCTTGGTTTAAACAAAGCTGCAAGAGGAGTCAGCCCCAGCCAAGGTGGTACAGAGCTCTCACCTCCCGCCACCCCAGCTGATCCTCCCTTGCCTCCCTGCCACACACAGGTCCTGGGGCCAGCTTCTCCTGCAGTGCAGTTTAAACCATGCTGCGGGAGAAGCCAAGCCATCCTCAGTGCCAGGCTGGCTGTTTTTTTAATCAATTTTTTTCTTGTCAGGTCTATTGGACCCGAAAAATTCGGGATTTCTGGAAAATCCCGGATCCGAATACCATGTCCCGGATGTTTCGGAAATATCGAAATTATTTCGGGTCCAGTAGACCTGAACCTAAAAATACTATGTTGTTGGGTTTTTTTGCACACCCCTAATGCCCCCAGAGGCTTAAAAGGGTTAGGGACTGCTGCCCTTCACATTGACTAAATAGGTCACTGCTTCTGAGCCTCAACAGAGCAGAGCCAGAGGATCTAGAACATCATGAGACCTTTTCTACGTTTCACTTCAGCAATAAAAGAAATTATTTGTAGTCAGAACGAGTTTATCAGATGAAGGCATCCTCTAGATGTATTGTGTGTACTGCCCCAAGAAATTCTTGGATATTTGGGAACAGCTGAGAATGTTCTTTCAATTTCATGCTTTCCAGGGTTGGACTGGTCTGAAGACAGTGGTGAAGAATGGGAGGAATGGGAGCAAAGTTCACCGTACCAGGTTGCGTGGTCTATCCGAGAAGCCCTCAGATACGAAAGGAGTCAGTAAGTACATGGGATTTCATGGTACAAGAATGAGAAATTATGGGATAGTAAGTAGCACGCCTATTCAAATACTCTGTAAACTCTTTTGCTGTTCCGGAGGGGAGTAAGTGGAAGGAAGTGCTGGTGGATTGAGAAGGAAGAAGTTAAGTCTTTTCTCCTCTCTCCTCTACCCCCTTTCTCCCCCACCCCCACTTCTTAGACCAGACAGATTTTACACCACTACCCCTGAGTTCTACACCATCTTATACTTTTAGCTATAAAATAATGTGTTTTCTTATATAGCATTAGGTATTTTATTATATTTATGTATTAGAATGTTTGTTTTCATGATGTCACCCGCTCTGAGCCTGGACACAGGGAGAGCGGGATACAAATCCAATAAAAACAAACTAACAAACAAATAAGGTTTAATCTGAACCTCATGATCAGAACCTCCACATTCTCGGGGTTGGGTCCCATAGGTCCGTTCTGCTAACGGCAGTGCCTTCCACTCGCTCAAGTCAACAACAATAAAAAGCAGTAACAGGGCTATTGTCACCAATCTGAAAATACCTGGGCAAATAGGTAGGTTTTACTGTAGGTCTTGGGCAGTGGTGCTCTGTATTCTTGGTGCTTGGGGGGGGGCAACAGTGGGAGGGCTTCTGGAATTCTGGCCCCACTGGTGGACCTCCTGATGGCACCTGGGCTTGGGCCCACTGTGTGACACAGAGTGTTGGACTATATGGGCCATTGGTCTGATCCCACATGGCTTCTCTTATGTGGTCTTATGTTCTTACTGTGCAGTGGAAATGATATCAATCAGGCGTGGATAGATAGGAGAGGGCATTCCAAAGATGGAGGCTTAAGTGACAGATGAACCTGTTGTCTGGTTAAAAAATGTCTAAAGTTTGCTGTGGGAGCTGAGCTCAGAATTAAAGCAGCCAAACACAACCAGCAGTGTTCTTGTTCCTTGACATCAGCAGTGGTTCTGGCTAGTGTTCTTTTATGACCCCGTTCAATGAGTTGTTGCAGTGTGGAAACATCGCGTAGAATCTGGCTGCAAAGAGTCCTGTATTGCACAAAGTCTCCGGTTGCGAGTTTGTGCTAGCAGGGGATATTACATCAGCACTCGCAACTTAAGTTTCTGCTGCTAAGCTTGCAGAACAGTCACCGTAGTGGGATGAGGCAGAGAGTCATTGTACAAAACTGTTGCGTGTCGTGGCCCTGAGGGGAAGAGAGGCAATGCAGCAGCAGTGAGGAGGGCAAAGCTGGAAGATACGCTTTGTGCCGTTTAAGGGCCTTTTGAGCACAAAACCGACGATATTAGATTCATTTGAATTAGCCCGTGTTGTGTGTAAAGGTAGACATAGCTATCTAGAGATCTCATCGGAGCTCGGAAGCGAAGCAGGATCTGTTCTTGGATGGGAGACCACCAAGGAAGGCTGGGGTTGCTACGCAGAGGAAGGCCATGGCAAGCCACCTCTGCTCATCTCTTGCTGTGGAAACCCCCTGGCTCCGGGTTGGTTGTGACTTAATGGCATACAATTAAAGGAAGCAAAAAGGGCTGGGGAAGCAAGGTTCCCCCAGTATTCAGGGCTTCTCCCCGACCTGATGTCATCACGTAGCGTGGGGGGGACCCTCTGGTTCAAAGGCTGGTTTTACCATAGAGTTTTGCTCTTAAACCAGAGCGTCCCCGTGCGACGCCCCCAGCGTGATGACATCACTTCCGGGTGATGTCATCACATCGGTGACGTCCCGGAACGCCCCCCAAATCCCTCTGCTGGTGCGACGATGGGACCTGGCAGCCCTAACTATAATACAACTGTTGGTCTTCAAGGTGTCACTGGGCTTTTTGTTGGTGATGTTGTTTCCACTTCTCAAGAGGGGATGTTCAACAGTCTGAGGACTATGGCTGAAAAAGTTTCACCTGTTGGTCTTCCACAACATGGTTTGAACCCAAACCTGAGGTGTGTCTCTGTAAATCTTAAAAGGGACAAGAGGGGTAGTTTGTGACGTCCTGACCCACATATAACCCATGACCTGAGAGAGAAGTTTAAGAGGGTGGTGGGCACTCTCTGTGAGTGAACACCCCTGATGTAAAAGAACAGACACCGTTCAGTTCGGGGTCTAGAACCCTGCTGCTGTAGTTTGCAGTAGCTGAAGCACCTGGACAGTCTGCAAGGGCATTCCCACTTAGGGCATGTTACAGTAGTCTAATCTTGATGTTGGTAAAGCATGTCTGACTTGCCAGATCATTACCCCCTCCCCCCTCCCCACTGTATCCTTCCGACCCACATGGCTATTATTCTACAAAGTTCCCCCAGCCCCAGCAATAAACATTCCCCGAGTCAGGAACTGCTGCTAGGGGGAAGGGAAGATCGGTAGTCGGAAGCACTTTTTGCCAGTAGATCATGGGATCCACCCGCAGGTGTACAGAGGGGCCACCAGGTCCAGGTTCCTGTATGAAGGTGCAGAGACACCATTTTAATGTTTTATATATGGTGCTATAATGCCTGCCATTAGCATTGGAATCGTCCTATATTACATACGGTTGTGTCCAGTGTTCCCTCTAACCAGAGTCAGTGTGAGCTAGCTCACAGGTTTTTTAACCTCCGGCTCCCACATTTTTGTCTTAGCTCAGGAAGGATGGCTCCAGAGCAAATTAATTTATGCGGTAGTCAAATCGCTCACTCACAACATAAATGGCAGTAGCTCACAAAGCAGAATTTTTGCTCACAGGACTCCACAGCTTAGAGGGAGCATTGGTTGTGTCCTAAGAAAATGTGATTTTGGTGTTAAATGTATGACCTCTGCGGGAATACAGACGATGGACCTTCTGACTGTGAAAACCCTCGGGTGTTCTTTAAATTGGAAACCATCCCCCTCCCTGTATATTCAGTCCCAGCCCATGTGGAAGCTAACACGGATTCTGTGCACATATTTATTTATTTATTTATTGTACTTATACCCCGCCCTCCCCCGTGGGCTCAGGGCGGCTTACAGAGGCAAGAACACTTGCCATGGTAAAACAATCATATACATAACAATTTAAAACATATACTACATATTAAAATCTCAAGTTAGATCTTAAATAAACAAAGTGCTCAGTGCCATTCATACTCAAAAGATGGCGGATCATCTGTCCAAAGTCCCAAGGAGATGGCAGAAGGATTGTTCCATAATAGATGTTTCATCGGGACCTCAGGGCGGTGGTAGTATAGTAGGGGCGGCGGCTCCTACTCGAAAGCCTGGCGGAAGAGCTCCGTCTTGCAGGCCCTGCGGAACTGCATCAGATCCCGCAGGGCCCTGATCTCCTCCGGGAGCTCATTCCACCAGGTAGGAGGCGCCACCGAAAAGGCCCTGGTCCTCGTGGCGGCTAGTTTGACCTCCTTGGGGCCCGGGATGGTTAGTAAGTTTTGGGCCCCTGACCGTAGTGCTCTTGGGGGAACATACGGGGAAAGGCGGTCCCTCAGGTTTCATGATAATGTGACCTTTGAATCCCCCCTCCCTGACTTCTCTCCCTCCCCCCCAAATCCCCAGGTTGGACGACAACAGCGATGCCAGCGGCAGGCGTTCTCGCATTTCCCAACTTTGCACTTACTTCCAGCAGAAATATAAGCACCTCTGCCGCCTGGAGCGAGCGGAATCGCGTCAAAGGAAATGCCAACATACGTTCCGGAAAGCATTGCTGCGGGCAGCCAGCAGAGAGCCGGAATGCGCTGGACAGTTGATGCGAGAACTCCGAAGAGCTTCGTGTGGTCGGACCAGGTGAGAAACCGCCTCGCGCACCTCTGCGGCAGCACGACATCAGCAGTAATGAACACGTGAGCATGCGCACACATATCCCAGTGACTTCAGAACCCTGAATGAAAGCTTTTGTAGAAGAAGCAAAAAAATGTTAAAACCCCCCCCACAAATGTTCTAGGAAGCCAATCATAAGCTATGGGAGACCACCAAGGAAGACCTTGGCTGCTATGCAGAGGAAGGCGGTGGCAGTGGAAAACCACCTCTGCTTATCTCTTGTCTTGACAGGGGTGGTGGGGTCTAGGGGTTGACAGTGGCAGACTGTTAAGCTATGGGAGACCACCAAGGAAGATCTGGGCTGCTATCCAGAGGAAGGCAGTGGAAAACCACCTCTGCTTGTCTCTTGTCTTGACAGGGGTGGAGTCTAGGGGTTGACAGTGGCAGACTGTGTTTTAACTTGATCTGTAAATGTGTCCACTGGAATTGCTGTTCACCACCCTGAGCCCTGTGCACAGAGGAGGGGCAGTCTATAAGTCAAAGTTATAGATATAAATAAATAATCTGGAGAATCGGGTTTGATTCCTCACTCTTCCACATGAGGCCTGCTGGGTGACCTTGGGCCAGTCCCAGTTCTCTCCGAACTCTCTCAGCCCCACCTGCCTCCCTGGGTGCCTGTTGTGGTGGGAGGAAGGGAAAGGCGATCGTCAGCTGCTTTGAGACACATGAGCCCTGATAGCTGACCTCTGTCCAGTCCCAGTTCTCTCAGGACTCTCTCAGCCCCACCAGCCTCACTGGGTGCCTATTGTGGGGAGAGGAAGGGAAGGCGATTCTTTGAGACACATGAGGCCTGCTGGGTGACCTCGGACCAGACATGGTTCTCTCAGAACTCTCTCAGCCCCACCTGCCTCACAAGGTGCCTGTTGTGGGGAGAGAAGGGAAGGCAACTGTAAGCCACTTTGGGATCCCTTAAGGTAGAGAAAAACTAGCTTTAAAAACCTACTCTTCTTCTTCTAGACAACACCCCATGAGGTGTTGCCATGACTTGGCTGCACTTGTTATTATTATAATTATGGAACATTAAAGCACTTTAGTTCCCCACATGCTGAGACAGAAGGTCCTTGGTTCAATCTCTGGCATCTCCAGCTAAAAAGGTCACAGTAGCAGGTGACGTGGAGGACCTCTGCCTGAGACCCTGGAGAGCTGCTGCCAGCCAGTGCAGACAGTGCCAACTTTGACAGATCAAAGGTCTGACTCAGCAGAAGGCAACATCTCGTGTTTACGTGCCCTCAGGAGACAGTGACTCTGTAAATTGGGGTTGTTCGTGCGGACAACAAAGCCCATCAAGCAGAAAGTGGGTGTAAATTTTCATAGCAATCAACATTCCGGTAGATATTCGGAATCATAAGCCTGCTGTATGAAACTTTGGAAACTCATCTTTTGAACTGGAAAAGCACCTCTTGTGGCTGACAGTCATGAATGTTTTATTTCCCCAAAACTGGAAGTAGCAACATGTAGAGCATTCTCCCCGGAGATAAACCTTTGGGACTCATTTGGGAATGATGTGGGTGTGGAGTTTGAATTCATCCCGTCTCCAGCTTTACACGCAGGACTGTGCTGCAAAAGCTGAGCACTGTGGCCCCCAGCTGGGCTTCACAATGCGAAGACTCAAAATGGCAAGACTCAAGGCAATTTGCACCTTAAAGACCACCTAGGTTTACCGGGTATGATCTTTCTGTATTTGATGAAGGGAGCGTTGACTCTCGAAAGTTTATACCTCAAAAATCTTGTTGGTTTCTAAGGTGCTACAGGACTTGAACCTGTTTTACTGAGGACCAACATGGGCTTCAGTTCCGTCTGACGCTGAGCCGACAGCGTCTTCTGGACAGTTTTCAACGCACAGCCAAAGTAGAATAAATCACTTTTATTCAGTTTTTCACATGCATTCATAAGAGTTCTTTACTCACATCTTTGTGATCTAATTCCTTTCACTGGCTTATGGTGAAAAGGATGCGTGTCCCCACTCCTTGCGTTGGAAGATAACAAAGGCCACGGGAAGAGAGCTGTAACTCTAATCCTTGCGCCTTTCTGAGTGCCGGATGCTGTGGGATGTCTAACTAAAGACTTCAATTCCCAGGAGCCACTGCTCTTAAAGATATATATGGCAGTTCTGCTTAACTACAGTTTAAACGCTGGCTGGGGGCAGCACAGCTTCCCTCCTGAAACTAGTCTCAAATAGGGCTGCCGGGTCCCTACCTTTTGCTGGCAGGGTCTCCAGCCCGCTCCCCTGGATGTTCTGGTCACCATAGAGTTGTTAGCCAAATGCTAGAGCGTCCTCCCTGCGACGTGCCTGGCGCAATGATGTTACCTCTGGGTTATGTCATCGTGCCAGGCACATGGGGTGCAATCAGCATCTTTGGGGGGGCGTGTTGGTCCTTAAATTGGGGAAAACCCCTACCCTATCAGGGGGATAGCAACCCTAGCCTCAAAGTGGGTTGGCTGTTTTTCCTCTCCCCAGCCTGCCAACAGGTCCTGGGTCCTGGCTGTCTGAGGAACGCTCTCTGTATTGCTGGTGAAAGATATTAAAATTAATTGTGCTAATGCAGCTGGGTTCCCCCCCCCTAATAATCATTTTAAAAAGGAAAGGTCGTCGCTTAAAGGTAGAGCACACGCTTTGCCTGCAAGCCGTCCCGGCTTTGATCTTTGGCAGCTTCGTTTAAAAATAAAAAGTCTTGGAGTTGCAGGGCTGGGAAAGAGAAACTGAAGCCAAACTGGCCACTCTGGGCTAGATCAGTTAATGATCTGACGGGAAGCAACAAGCAGCCTCATATGCTCAAAGACAAGCATGCGGAATGTAATAGTCTGATGCAGAAAGTGATCACTGCCTGTCTTCATCCAGTTCTTTCTAAGCATCTGTGGTTTGCTTAGTATGTGGATATGGAGCAAATGGTTCTATCTCCCCCCCCCCACCCCAAATCAAGTCATGGCTAGCTTAAGGTGACCTCATAAGCCTCTGTGTAGCAGTCCTGGACTTCCTTGGTTTCCCATCCATAGGGTTGCCAGGCCTTGTTGACATGCTGGCGGGGGGTGGGAGGAAGCCTTCTGGGAGCAGGGCGGGGCTCCGAGGTGTGATGACATCATGCCAAAGTGACGTCATCACATCGGGGACATTGTGTGGTGATGCTCTGGTTTAAAGGCAAAGCTCTGTGGTAAAATTGCCCTCAGACCATAGAGTTGCCCCAAAACCAGAGCGTCGCAATGATGTAACTTCTGGGTGACATCATCACGTTGGGGACATCGCTGTTAAAGGATTGCCCCAAAACTGGGGGATTCCCTGCCTGGGCCTGGGGAATGGCAACCTGACCCATCCAAGTACACACCACGGCCAACCCAGCTTAGCTTCTAATGTCTGACAAGGTCAGGCTACTCTGGGCTATCCAGGTCAGGGTTTTATCAGTCCTAGAGAAGGTTTATTATTTATTAGAGTTGCGTTTGGATTTTGCATTTTTTCTGGCATTTTATCTTGTCGAGCAGCCCTTCAGTATCCCTTTTAGACACTTCGTCCAGCGATTTGTGCTTAGAAACCTCTCTTTGTAAGAAGAAGTAGTGCTTATTTAAAAAAAGAAACAGGAAACGTGTATACTCTGGATTTGCTGCTTTTGGAGCAGATGCCTTAAATGCTCAATTGATATTTAGTGCTGAGGTAAAGCTGGTCAAAAACTCTGTTGGCTGATGTGTGTGAGAATTTCAGGTTGTTTTAATGTGACAAAATAGCTCTGCTGCCACAGCATGCATTGGGGGGGGTACTTAGGGTTGCTAGGTCCCCCCCCCGGCCACTGATGGGGGCTGGGGGGCAAGGTTGCTAGATCCTGGTTGGTAAACTGCTGGAGATTTGGGGACAGAGCCTGGGGAGGACAGGGACCTCAGAGGGGTACAATGCCGTGGAGTCCACTCTCCAAAGCATCCATTTTCTTCCGGGGGAACTGATCTCTGTAGCCTGGAGAGGAGCTGCGATTCCAAGGGGTCCCCAGGTCCCACCTGGAGGCTGGCATCCCTAGCAGGTACCTGGCTCTAGTGTTTGGAATGATAGGGAGGTAGAAGGAGGCCAAATCCCAGTGTTGCGTCTTTGGCGGCAGCTTCTGTTATGCTTGTGTTACTCATCCGGGCAATTGACTTCTGGGTCTGGAGGGCTAGCACAAAGAGAGTGCTTTAGAAATCGAGTGAAAATTACTCCTGGGAGCAACTCAACTCAGTGGTTGGCTAGGTGGAACAGGAATTCTCAAACGATCACCCATTTGCTGAAAGAGCTGCTCTGGCGACCCATCTTCTTCCTTCCAGATGCAATTCAAAGTGCTGGTTCTTTAAGGCCCTAAATGGCACCTGAAGAACTGTGTCGTACGTCCCCCCCCCCCTGTACTATCCAGCCTGCTAGTTAAGATCTGTCTCCCAAGGTGTTAAATAGAGAAAGGGCACATTCTGTGGTGGCACCTAGCCTTTGGACTTCACTTTCTTTTAGGTGCCAGGTCAAAAACACATAATTTTAATCAGGCTCTTAATGAGGGGTTATAGCTTCACATAACAGACACAAACAATCATAACATATACATACATACTAACGTGCAAACAGATACATGGAGGTTATTTTCATTTTTACCAATATTTATACTGATGCCTATTCCACCTTAATAACAATTTCTCATGAACTGTGTAAGCAACTTTTCTGTCTCTGTCATCCTAACAGGTATATATTTCATTTAGTAAACTCTTAGTCTGTCTCTTGCAAACTTGCCTACATATGTTTATCATACCAGTTATAGAACCGTGACCAAGTATTCTCGAATGTCGAATCTGTTGCACCTTTTATCAATAAAGTCAATTTATCCAATTCCGCAGCCTCCAAGATTTTGTTTACAAGTTCTCGTTGTGTTGGTATCTCCGGTAATTTCCAATATTTTGCACAGAGAATTCTAGCAGCCGTAGTTAAAAAAACAATCAAATAGCAATCATCTTTGTTAGAATTATCAGGTAGAATATTCAACAACAAAGCCTGTGGTGTAAATGGTACTACAGTACCTAGTACCTTTTGCAAGATTTCGTGTATTTCTTATTTCTTAGCTCTTTCGCAATGCCACCACATGTAGTAAAATGAGCCAACCTTATTTTCACATTTCCAACACTTATTAGAACATTTCGGATCAATTTTAGCTAATCTTTCAGGTGTTACATACCATCTATAAAACATTTTATATACATTTTCTTTATACGGAATAGCTTTCGTAATCCTAATATTGTTCTTCCAGATCTGATCCCATTGCTCTAATTTAATAGTGTGCTCAATATTCTGCCCCCATTGAATCATATTCCCTTTTATTATTTCATCCACCATTAAATCATCAAGTAACAACACATAAAGTCTGGAGTCCAATATATCCAAATACCTTCTTGGTAATTCTTCCTGGTATGCATTTGGGAGTGTTGTGGCTTCTAGTGGAACAGTCAATTTCGAGATTTTTATATAAAAGCGCTTATATTAAAGATGCCCGTATCCAGTGCTTCTTGAAATATTTATGGACACTTGCTTTTCCATACCATAAGAATGCATGCCACCCTAATTGAAGGTCGTGGCCTTCCAGTTTAGTGTTCTCTTATCTTCCAATGTGACCCAATCTTTAATCCACGTCAATGCAGCTGCTTTATAATAAATGTTCCCATTAGGTAGGCCAAAGCCCCCTCTTTCTTTAGTATCTTGAAGAGCTTTCAGTCTTATTCTGGGTCTCTTGTCTTGCCAAATAAATTTTGATAACGCTTGCTCCAGTTACTTAAAGATTTTTTGGTTTTGAAGAATGGGAATTGTTTGGAATAAAAATAGCCATTTTGGAAGTATATTCATTTTAACTGTTGCGATTCGGCCCATCAAAGATATCTGTAAGTCTTTCCATTTCACTAGATCCTGTTTTGTTTTCCTCAACAATTCTTTATAATTATTCTCTTGTAATGAGCTGCATTTGTTTGTCATTACAATTCCTAGGTATTTTATTTTCTTCTGTAGTTGGAAACCTGATGTTTCTTGTAGTTGAGTTGTCCTCGCCTCTTCCATATTTTTGGTAATTATCTTAGTTTTATTGATATTAATTCTCAAACCAGCTACAAGTCCATAGTCTCGAAGTTCTTGTTTCAAAGTAAGAATTGATTCCAGTGGGTTCTCCAATATAAATACTAGGTCATCTGCAAATGCCAACAGTTTATATTCTTCTCCTTTTAGTTTCAGGCCCATAATCTCCTTTTCTCTTATTGAGTCATTTAGTGTTTATATCTTAGCAGCTTTTAAAATGGCTTACTTCTGTTGTGTCCGATGGCTTGTTGTTAATGGCTCAGTTTGATATTGTGATGTGATGTGAAGAGGCAGCATAGAGACCTCATGAACAAAAAAATAAACTATGTTGTAGATAGCCAAATAAGACAAATGTTGTAGGTAGGGTTGCCAGGTCCCCTGGGGGGGGGGGGGGGGGTTTGCCTGCCTGACAGGCCCCTTACCCGCTGGCCTGGATCCAGCTGCCGGGGGGAACCCCACGCCCCAAATGCCGGGATCACGGGGACGTCATTGTGCCGGGCACGTTGTGGGGGAGATGCTCTATCATTCGGGGGGAAAATCTATGCTTTCCCCTCGAATGATAGTGGCCCTGCCCCCAACGTGCCCAACACAATGACGTCACTTCCAGGTGATGTCATCACGCACGCACCAAGGATGTCCCGGAGAGGGGCCAGGATTCCCCCGCCAGAACAAAGGTAAGACCTGGAAACCCTGGTTGTAGGCCTCAACAAATCTGGCCATGTTCATCTCCCAGGCAATTCAGACCTGAAAGGTTACTGAGAGTGGCCGAATTCTGTGACTTACGTAATAATGTTCTGTAGACTGAACAAGTTTGCACTGTTCTGTGTAGCTGATCCTCCAATTTTTGTTATTTTGCATACTTTGCTGGTCTGGGCAGAGGCAAAGGCACAGAAGCCCTGCATTCCATTAGCCACATTTCCAGTAGGCTTTGGCTGCAAATTTTCGAGCGCATCTTCTCGGCTGTCAGTGATCGAAACTTTCTTTTAAAAAATAATGATACAAAAGCTGAGGTTCTCAGGAATTTGAACTCTTGAGCCCATTACCCCAGACTGTGCTCCAGTGGAATCATACCCTTGGACTATGCACCCCCCCCCCCCCATGTTTTTGTTCCCTTTTGCATGCCTGGCAAAAAACACACACAAAGAAATCTGTTAATTATCTTCAATCACCTTTTAAATTGTGATATAAATAGATGGAGGGGAGGTTGATCAGTAACTGTTTATACTGGATGCTAAGAGATATGGTGGCTCAAGTGGTTAAGACACTGAACTGCAGACCGGAAGGTCAGTAGTTCAGCAGTTCGAGACCCGAGTGCTGCGTGACGGAGTGAGTGCCCGTCTCTGGTCCCAGCTCCTGCCAACCTAGCCGTTCGAAAGCAAGAAATTGCAAGTAGATAAATAGGTACTACTTCAGTGGGAAGGTAACAGCGTTCCGTGTGCCTCGGCGTCTAATCATGTTGACCACATGACCACAGAAATGTCTTCGGACAGCGCTGGCTCTTCGGCTTGGAAACGGAGATGAGCACAGCATCCCTAGAGTCGGATTCGACTGGCTTTTGTGCAAGGGAAACCTTTACCTAAGAGATACCAGCTGGGGATGGATGCCAGCAGTATCCACTGCTTGTGAACTTATTGTACTTACCTACCCAGGTTCTAGCGGACTGCTCAGGTAGACATGATGGCAACATCAAGGGATTGACCCTCCCGGACCATTCTTTGGTCTCTAACGTTCTTGCTATTCTTTCATTTCAGTACGAGCGAAGTGAAGCAGAGGGATGCGTCGCCGTGTACGGGAACCACGAAGGGTGAACCATGCACCAGTCTTCCATTCACAAAACATTGCTTTCAGCGTATCTTTTTCCATTGGGTTTTTATGTTCACATTGAAAGTATAATTGGTTACTTCTGGCCACTACCCATTTGCTTACTAATTTCCTATTATTTACTATTGTGGGCACGGGAGGGGATTTCCCCACATGCTTTCTCACTGAGCCCAGGGGCCGCCATGGACTCAGGCTGTGCCGCTGCTGGCAGTGGGCCCAGCACAACTCCTGGGCTGAGCAGTTGCTGGCAGCATGCCCCACATGGCTCCCAGGCTGTGCGGCCACCGTGGCAGGCCCAGCGTGATTCAGAGACTGCACTGCTGCTAGCAGCATGCTCTGAACTGCTCCCGGGCTACGTGGTGGCCGCCAACAGGCCCAGCTGTGCTCCCAGGCTGTGCCGCCATCGCTGGACCCAGCAGGACCACTGCACTGCATGACCATTGCTGGGCCCGGCGTGACTCAGGAACTACAGCAGCTGCTGGAGGTAAATGTGTTCTCTGCGCATGTGCATGGAACGCTACTTTACTTTTTGTGGGATTTAATCCCCCCATGTATTATTTTTTAATTTTCAGATTTTTCTGCAAATCTGGGGAATGCCCCAAGTTTGAAGAAAGATCTGTTTAGCTTCCATGTGGCTCTGATTCATGGATTTGATTTGATTTTACATTGTTTGTGTTCAGGGACAGACATAGGGGCTACCCTGTGAACAGCAGTTGCACGTTCCACCAATTAAAATACTGTACACAGAAACCCCAACTGTAAACCCAACTCTGATCTGAAGGATTGGAACAGTGTGACACCTACAGATATGTCTTTATTCCTTGGTCCCGGGACTTAGGGCAACAGAGACTTGAGGCCCCATATTTTCTGTTTGTCGAGAACGGATGGAGCGTGACTTCGTTTGAGCCCTGCCCTGTGGACTTAATTCCCAGCTTGCCTCCTCTGATATTGTCGCAGGCAGCGGCTGGAAAGGTTCTCTGATGGTTGATGCCATCTGGTCTGGGTCTACTCGGGAGGGCCCGGCGCTCCCACCCTGCCCCTTGATACACTCCTTTTCCAGTAGGTTTCCCCTTATACGTGACCGAACGAGGCGTGAGGACCCAGGCAGAGTAGGAAACTATTTTTATTAAAGAGATTTGGCAATAACAGTGATTCAAAAAACATGAAAGAAAAATGACCACTGTAAGGGTAGGTAAACCAGCAAAATAAGAGATCCTAACGTGTCTGACTATACCGTCCTGGCCTTCCCTAGGTACCTGGTCACAGACTTACCCCTTTTGGATGAGGGATCCCTCCTTCTGCAACAGCCTCACCAGCCCTGCTCCCTGAGAGAGAGAGAGAGAGAGAACCCCCTCCCACTTTGGGCAAGGCTTTTTATCCCTTCTTTCCAGGCACCACCCTCTACTCCTCTACTGGTATAAGTTTTCCCTCTAAAATCCCCTGTTACCCAATCAGAAGTCCAGAGGGTATCTGGAAAATGTAGACCCTGATAGCTACTTCAGTACAGGCTTCCCTGGAGCCACTAGGCCTCCCTAGAGCCTGTAGGCCACACCACTGTAGGCCCAGGATCATGACAGGTATAGCACTGACAGTGGCAATAGGCCTCCTTTTGGTGTGACACACTCTCTATTTGTCCACTCTGGCTGGTCACACTGGCCTGCTATCTTGTCAGTCCTGGGAATACTGAAACATTGGGGGATTTTACACAGGCACTAGTCCCTTAAAATTAGGGTCTGGTGATCCAGGTTCAAGGTATTCACAATGAAATCTGTGCAGATTGCATCCACTTTGGAGTGTGGGTCAGTAGAGAAGTCTGGAAAACAGGGCGGAGTCTGGTGGGATGCATGAGTCTAGTCTCCATTGGAGTCTTCCTCAGTTCAAGTTATTGGTTTCCGGTCCAAATGGTGTGGTTTGCATTCATAAATGGACAACTTTGTGGAGGTCATTCTGTCCTACTGTTCAAATGGAAGCACACAAATGGAGTTGGCTTTCCACCAAAAAGTTTAATAATCTTGCACCTTCCGTAGCCTTAAAATTTTCAGCAGGGCAGGCGGGATTGAGGCAGGAAAATGGCCTAGAATGAATAAGGGATGAAAGTTCTATAATCCTGCTGTATTGATAGAAGAGGCAGAGACCAGGGACAAAGGAAGTCCTTTGACCAGAAACTCTTACTAAAGAGGACCCTGAACATGAGGATATGGAATTTCAAAGGCAAAGAAAGGGAAAATAAAAGATCCTAAATTCACCACTCTCAGAATTTTGATGAGTCCTCTCTCCCCTTCCTTTCTAAATTCACTGGAGTCCCTTACAGCTGCCCCAATCTCCAGACCCTTCTGAATCACAAATCTAACCTTGGTTTTTTATTCAGGTGGCTAGCCATGTTGGTCTGAAGCAACAGAACAAAGTTTGAGTCCAGTGGCAACTTTAAGACCAACGAAGTTAAATTCTGGGTATCTTCTTCATGCATCTGAAGAAGTGTGCCTGCCCACAAAAGCTTATACCCAGAATCAGGGCTATTTTGGGGCAGGAACGCACAGGAACGGAGTTCCGGCTGGCTCCCGAGTTGGCCACACCCAGCAGGAACTCATTAGCATAATAGGCCACACCCAACAGCAGAAACTCATTAGGATTGGCTACATTAGGGGTGTGTGGCCTAACATGCAAAGGAGTTCCTGCTACAAAAAGGCCCTGGGCTTTGACAACAAACATGGTAAACAGAATAAGAATCAAAAGGTGGGCGTGGCTGGATGACCACATTTTTGGTAACATGGGGGTGCGGCCTAATATGCTAATGAGCTCTGCTGTCAGGGTGTGGCCTAATATGCTTATTAGTTTCTGCTGTTGGGTGTGGCCTATTATGCTAATAAGTTCCTGCTGGACTTTTTCTACAAAAATGCCCTGCCCAGAATTAAACTTTGTTGGTCTTAAAGGTGCCACTGGACTCAAACTTTATCTTAGTTTTAAAATCATTCTAAGCACTGAAGAAGAGCTGGGAATTTAAAGGAAACAGCGAAGGCAGAATGGAGAAATACAGAGAAGGATCAGATGAGAATGAACGGTCTGGCAGAAAGCAGGATGTTGACAAATTTATATGGCTCTTTGTAGACCACCGTTAGCCCAGTAGAAGCATCAGTGGACCTCTCTTTAGATCCTTCAGGCCATTGGAAGTGCCTTTGACCACCGCACGAGGCTGTTGAACTCACAGCCAGGGGGGACTCACTCGGAAGCGCCATTTGTGTGAACTAGAAGCTCCGCCGCATTCACTGGTGCCATGATTTGTGCGGTCACAGGCGTCCTCATTACGTCTTCTGTTCTAAAACCATCAAAGGCATCCAAAGCACACTGCAACAGATGCTTGTTCACTTTTTCTGTCTTTATCTAAAATAAGTATCATGCCACAGTTCATGAGTAGTTGTTCGGAGGATGAAGTGACTGCCCTGTTTCGGAAGCGGCTTCCCACATGCCCTCCGGCAGCCATTTTCAGAATGTAAACCGATACAAGACTAAAGCAAATGAAGGCGTTAACTTGGAAGAACATACCTTGTAAATAAGCCTGTAGACACAAGACGATCTGGTGCAGTTTAGCGGAAGACAAAAATGTGTCTTTTATATATCTTTTTTCTCAGCAATGTCATTTCAGATTCAGGGTTTGATTTATTGACTTTCTCTGTACGTCATCTTTCAGAAAGGCAGGACGAATCTTGGAAACATTACGGCGTCTGATCTGTGGATGCCAGAAACCATTTTTAAAAAATATTTTGAGTACAGATTGTCATAAGCTGATTAGGCAGCAACCCCATCGATTGCGTTGCGCCTCCCCCCCCCCCCCCCCCATGAAGATATTGATTAAAAAAATTTTCAAGGAAACTGACGTAGGGACTCGTTAGCAAAATAGCTAGTTCAATAAAACCAACTTAATCAATTGTAAAAAATCATCAGCCGTTCCGCTGGATGGCGATTTCCCCGCTGTAATTGTTGACTTTGCATCTGCTCTTGACGTGAGGGAAATGTTTAATTTGGATCTCAACAGAACAGAACTTCTGTTTTTTTTTACTTACTGCGCAGATCAAATGGTCTTTTGATTCCCTCCCCCAAAGTGTTTCTGCCTGTTATTCCTGACCCAGATGTTCCTAGATATCCTCTTGAACCGTTCGCAGCAGCTGTTCTCGAGCTGCACAGCCAAGTTTGCCGATGGACAGCAGTGCTCGGTGCCAGTTTTAGACGTTACGCATCAGACCCCCCTGTGTGAAGAACACGCCAAAAAAATGGTAAGGCATTCGAGATAGCCAAATAAAATGGCAATTTGACCAGCAAAGGCAGGTTAACATGAGATGGGCTGTGGCTCAGTGGTAGAGCACCTGCTTGGCATGCAGAAGGTCCCAGGTTCAGTCCCCGGCATCTCCAGTTAAAAGGACCAGGTGATGATGTGAAAGACCTCAGCCTGAGCCCCTGGAGAGCTGCTGCCAGTCTGAGTAGCCAATACTGACCTTGATGGACCAAGGGTCTGACTTGGCGTAAATTGGCTTCATGTGTTCATCATCACGGTAAAAATGTGTTGAACATTGTTGACTTTCACAGTTCTCTTCAGAATTTTGCGAACCGGACTTTGAGAAGGGGCCACAGTATCCTTTCCCTCAGCAACGATACAAAAATGTCATGATGTAAACCTTTTGTTTGTTTTTTAATTTATGGGTTATGGAAAAATATTTCTGAACTCTGTTGCAGTTCAATCCTGTGCATGGTTACTCCGAATTAAATTGCGTTGGGTTCAGTTATGCTTTCCCCAAGAAACCATATTTAGGATTGAAACCAGAGAGTGATTTCTGCCCTGGTTTGCATTTTCCCCATCTTGTCTTTGGTTGCCACAGTAGTCGGAATCTGGAACCCTGTTGTGTTGGACAGTCATGTCAAGGTGGAAGCTGAGCATTCCAGTTTATTTCCTGTTTTGAGAATGTGTTGCTGCCATTTATGTTTGGGGTAGAAATGAGAGGTTTTTGGGAAAAAAATTGTTTTTTTCTTCTGGGGAAAAATCCCAGCTATTGGGGGAAATTTGAATATACGCAATACTTTCGTACTGAGCCTAAACTTATTTTACTGCTTTAATGTCATCAAATGCATAATTTATAATTTAACATATAAAGTTGTACTCTGGGGCATAAATTTGAAAGTGTAACGCCTTCATTTTGTACAAACCACATTGCAAATATGCCCAATACTAAAGAGATGAAGAGCTGCAAACATCTGGCCTACCTTAGCACATGTATCTTAATTTTTTTGAAAACTGAAAACACAAACTTAGTAAGAAAGAAAAGACTGTACCTTCTTTGGACTACAACAGTCGCATGACAATCATAACAGAGCTAGGAGAGTATTTGAATGTTGAATTCAGCTTTGTAATAAGGAAAGCACTGAACTTTCCAACAATGGTTATAGTAACTGTAGCAAATTAATTGTGGGGAAAATTAGTCACATTTAAACAAGTTCCTGAAAATACTGTATATGTTTACCGCATACACATGGTACTTATTGTCTCGCACTATTTTATATAAATTTTTTCATAATGTACTTTCTGAATGACTAAAACTTTGTCTTAAAAACATTCCACTCAGTCCGAAAGAGGAAGTGTTTAATTGGAGTTTTGTTCTGCGTTCCCTCAAACCCTTCTCAGCCTTCTCCGCTCTAGCTTGAACAGTGATGGACATGATAGACATTTATAAAATTATGCATGAGGTGGACGAAGTGCATAGAGGTAGTTTTTCCCCCTCCTTCTCCCATGAGAGCCAGCGTGGTGTAGTGGTTAAATTGTTGGACTAGGATCTGGGGTGTCCAGGTTTCAATCCCCACTCATGCCGTGGAAGCTGGCTGGGTGACCTTGGGCCAGTCACACCCTCTCAGCCTAACCTCCCTCACAGGGTTGTTGTGAGGATAAAATGGAGGAGAGGAGAATGATGTAAGCCACTTTGGGTCTCCATTGGGAGAGAAGGGTGGGAAATAAAGCAAATAAATAAATTAAATTACTTGAATGTGGGGACACAAGGAGGAGGAGGAGGAGGAGATTGGATTTATACTCCGCCCTTCCTTCAGTGTCTCAGAGCAGTTTATAATCTCCTTCCCTTCCTCTCCCCACGATAAACACCCTGTGAGGCATGTGGGGCTGAGAGAGCTCTGAGAGAACTGCTCTTGAGAGAACAGCTCTCAGAGAACTGTGACTGACCCAAGGTCACCCAGCTGGCTGCATGTGGAGTATGGGGAATCAAACCTGGTTTTACCAGATTAGAGTCCATGCTCCTAACTACCACACTAAACTGGCTGGACAATAGGTACAGGACAGACAAAAGGAAATACTTCTTTACCTAACGCATAATTAATTTGTGGAATTCACTGCCGGTGGATGTAGTGATGGCTTTTAAAGGGGACTCATTCACGGAGGAGAGTGGTGATGAGTGAGTAAAGGGAACCTCCATATTCAGAGGCAAGTAACCCTTGAAATGCAGTCACTTCCTTAGAGTCTCAAAACCATCCTTTCTAGTTTGGCAACATTCCTAAACCTGCGGAAGATTAAATTTTAGTCTAAAATACAGACTAGTATAATTGGATTTGGAAATAGTTTGGCTTTTGTGTGCTGCCTTCTCCCCCCCCCTCCCCAAACCACTCAACTTTACTGCTCATGGTCATCAGGTGAGTTATCAGTTCACGTGAGTTCTCAGGTCTTCTATTCTGACTTGTGTGCAATACAGAAATATTTCGGTATGGCAAGAAAAGGAAAAAAAGAGCCTGTTCTTCACGTCCTTTCCATCCTGTCTCCCAACAGGATAGCTTCTTGCGCGGAGACAGCTCTCGCAAAGTCCAGCACCAGCAGCAGAGGAAGCCCAGGAAAAAAACAAAGCCACCTGCACTCACCAAAAAACACAAGAAGAAGAGAAGGCGGGGGCCACGGCGACCCCAAAAACCGATTCCTCCTGCTGTGCCCCAAGGAAACCTCAGTATGCCCACCAGCGTCTCACTGCCAATGGAGATCTCCCATATACGGTAAGTGGTCAGCAGGCTCTCCTTTTTAAACTGACCAGCCAGGGTAGGAGAGGACCAATGTTCCCTCTAAGCTGTGTAGTCTTGTGAGCAAAAATTCTACTTCGTGAGCTCCTGGCATTAAAGTTGTGAGCAAGTGATTTGGCTGCTGCAGAAATTAGTTGGCTCTGGAGCCCTCCTTCCTGAGCTAAGACAAAAATGTGTGAGCCAGAGGCTAAAAAACTGTGAGCTAGCTCACATTAACTCAGCTTAGAGGGAACACTGGAGAGGACTGCCGTGAATGAAAAAGCCCGATCTGTTGCTGCCTGTATATAATTGGCTGCAATCTTGCACAGGCTTCCTTGAGGTTTTAAGCACCGCAGAAGAGAGAAGGACTTCTTAGTAGGCTGAAATTTTTCTTTCACAGGGTGGTGGATTATTCCACAATCTGAGCTATTTCTGTGACTGTCTCTTAATAGCTGGGTGCACGGGCATCACGCTAGCAAGAGAGAGAAGAACAGCTATGGGCTATGCATAGATCCTTCCTCTTAAAGGGTGGTCGCTTTTCCCTCTGTCATTCCAGTGCCCTCTTAACCATGTGCTGCTTGTTTGGCCAGGATACCAGGAGGCCATTTATTAAGCCAGCCTGGGGACTGTTTTGGTCGGTCTTTACGACCTGCTGTACTACTCTTTGCTACGGATCTTTTCGTATACTGCAGCTTGCTTTTCTTCCTTAATAAATTCACCTGTCTGGTAGGGAAGAATCTGACTTGCCCTTGTATATTGTCATGGCCCTTAAATGTCTCAGCCTACTGAAAAAGGCAGTGTTGCGTTTTTGTGGCTGGGAAAGTATCTTACCAAAGAGAAGAAGAGATTGGATTTATACCCCGCCCTTCACTCGGAGTCTCAGAGCGGCTTGCAAACTCCTTTCCCTTCCCCTCCCCACAACAGACACCCTGTGAGCAGTGTTCCCTCTAAGCTGAGTTAGTGTGAGCTAGCTCACCGTTTTTTAGCCTCCGGCTCACACATTTTTGTCTCAGCTCAGGAAGGATGGCTCCAGAACACACTAATTTATGCAGTAGCCAAATCACCTGCTCACAATACAGACCCCCTGTGACGGGTATGCGGCGCTGAGAGAGCTTTGAGAGAACTGCTCTTTCAAGGACAGCTCTTGTCAGAACTACAGCTTGCCCAAGGTCATCCAGCAGGTACAAGTGCAGGAGTGGAGAATCAAACCCGGTTTCCCCAGATTAGAGTCCGCACACTTAACCACTACACCAAACTGGCTCTACACCAAAACATCCCCTGTGGAACAAATAACCTGCAAGACCTTTTAAGAGAATAGAACACTATTCAGGGGTCATTTCATAGAAAAAGAGCTAGGGGGACTCATTAGCATAACTCATTAGCATATGCCACACCCCCTGACATCAGGGGCCCGGCGGTGGCCCTGCAAGGCCAGCGGGAGTGCGAGGAAGCCCCGCGAAGGCCCTCCCTGGCCCCAGGCAGGCAGGGGTGGGGAGAGGCGGGGAGGAAGCGACTTACCCTCCCTCTTCTCCTGCCTCCTCCTGGCTGAATGAGGGCTGGAAGCGGGGGGCGGGGCTTCATCATGTGCCCTGCCCCCCTGTACCTCACCCGGGGGAACTGTGTTCCCCCGCGTTCCCCCCCGAAATGACCTTTGACTATTTCAGTGGCTTCTTTCTGTCTCATTTTGAACAAGTCAATCCTAATAGCAGCTGAGCAGCCCAGGTGCCACGTAACTTGGCACGTTCAAGAGTTTCCATAAAGGGGACACAGTTGGTTTATTTTCTGGACTAAAATCGGAGGTATTTAGCCCTGACCTGGATAGCCCAGGATAGCCCGATCTTGTCAGATCTCGGAAGCTAAGCAGGGCTGGCCCTGGCTAGTACTTGGATGGGAGGCCTCCAAAGAATACCAGGGTCGTGACGCAGAGGCAGGCGATGGCAAACCACCTCTGAACGTCCCTTGCCTTCAAGCTCCACTAGGGGTCGCCGGAAGTCAGCTTGATGTGATGGTAAAAAAATAAAAATAAAATTGGAGGCATTCTTCATTCTTAATGCAGAGATGGATTTATATTTTCTTGATCACCCCACAGAACAATGGACAGGCACCCTGCTTGCAATTTCAGGATCGCCCCGTTAATCTGGCATTCTCTATATTCTCTCCTGCGGGCAGCTAGAGCTCAGATGGGACCATTATTTTTTTTGGGGGGGGGGATGAGTGATACTTCAGGGATTCCCCGTCCACTTGTTAGCTTGTAGTGCAAGGAAGCCGTGGTGTATCTTTCAGCTCATGCCCATATATTGGCAGAAAGGGCAGTGTGTGTGCACCGATGTAGGGACCTCTCTGGTCCAAAGGGCTATAAAATGGTGGAAACAGCCAATGTCTCAATTGTGTCACAGCACAGAATCATAGAGTTGGAAGGGACCTCCAGGGTCATCTAGCATGCTTGAGAGATCCTCTCGTATCATAGATCTTAGGGGTTTACATTTCTACAGTGGTCTCCCCTTGACACTTCTGCGGGAAGCACTGCTGATGTCTGCCAGCAAGGATTTGATGCATCAGTTCTGGAGATCCAAAGGGAATGGGGAAAGAGAGGGCTGCTGCTAGCCCTGGTACACTGGGTCTTAGCAGACGCCATCCAAGGACATTTTCACGGGAACAGAACCCTACAGTTGCTGCAGCATTGTGAGTTTTTGCTTTCTGTGTAACACTATGTGGCTCCAGAGTTGCTAGATGGGGAGGGAGTTGAAACATGAGGGAGAGAGGCCGAGAAAGACTGCGTTAACCTGTCAGTCAGTGCCAGGATCCAGGCATCTCATCAGACTGGCTTTGCGGTATTTCTAGGAGCCCCTCCACACCGGAGCTGAGTACGGACGAGCTGCCAGATGACATCGCCAATGAAATCACAGACATTCCACATGACCTCGAGCTGAACCAGGAGGACTTCTCTGACGTCCTTCCGAGGCTGCCTGACGACTTGCAAGACTTTGATTTTTTTGAAGGTACTTACTCCCCCCCCCCCCCCTCTTGTTTGGCAGGTAGTAAATGGAGGCAAAGCAGTTTGGAATTGGGTCTTGGGATAGCGGGAATGAGCTCTCCAGGGTTTTTTTTTGAAAGCTGCTTTGTATGCTTTTCCAAATTGGTTTGATGGTTGAAGGATACTGGAAAATGGGAATGATAGCTTGGGACTTCCAGTTTTGAGCTCTTTCCAGGAACCCCAATCTCTCATGCTAGAGTTGAATTGGAGAGTGTCAAGAAGGTGATGTTGTTATTGGGGATGGGAATGAACTGAATCACAAACCGAAATTCGTCATGAACCAGGCCCGGTTCGTGAACCTCGATTCGTGCCATCTCACCCTCATGAGCCCCCACAAACCTCCCTGGTGGGTTTCTGTGGTTCGTGTCAGCAGACATGCTGGCCCCAGCAGTGGGGCTTGGAGAAGGCATTTAAAGAGACGGCGGCACAGCTTGCAGAAACAAAGGTGTGCAATTTTTACATGGTCAAACAGCTTAAATTTTTCTTTTTTCTATTCTGTAAAGCCCTCTTTGTATTTTTTAAAAACATTTTATATACAACTGTTTTAAACTTTATGTAAGTTTTGTAAGAAAGAACTTTTTTTGCATCTTGATACATGTACATTTTTGGTTGGATTTTCAGTGTTGCTTTTACGTCTGTGTCGCTGTTATGTGTGCTCAGGTTATTTATTCATGTTTGTCTGAAGATGAATTTTGAATGTCGTGGATTGAAGGAGAGATTGGGCTGGGTCCAGGACTCCCATTCGTGGAGTGGAAATTGCAAAAGTAATTTTTGCTGCCTTCCTTGTGGAGCCCCCCCAGGGTGCCCTCAAAAGCCACTGCTGAGAGTAGCACAACATGCCGTTGGGCATGGCGGAGGGGCTGTAGCAAAACAGGGGAATTTACCTGGAAAAAACCCCCCCCCCATTTTTTTGCACGAGCTTTCGATCCATCCACTGAGTCATTTGCAAAGCGGGTATGTCTGCCGTTTTGGCAGGTTTCCCCTTACTTTTGCAGCCCACCTTGCAATGTGGCATGTTGTTCTAGCGGGTCCTGTGACCCTCCACCGTGGTTTTTAAGGGGGCACAGAAAGCTACCGAGGGAAAAGGAAGGTGGTAAAAATTGCTTCCCAAAACATCGTCCGTTTGTGGCAGCCTTGGAGCTGGCTCTTCTATTTTTGTTCTAATGAATATTTTAAAAGCAGAAAAAGGCAGTGTTATTATCACACTGAACATGCTGGGGGGGAAAGCTTATAAGCCTTTTGGGGAGGGGCCTTTTTTTCAATGGTAGATCATCTGCTTGGCATGCAGAAAGTCCCAAGTTCAGTCCTCAGTATTTTCAGGTAAAAGGACCAGGTGATGTGAAAGACCTCTGCCTGAGATCCTGGAGAGCCACTGCCAGTCTGAGTAGACAATACTGGCCCTGATGGACTAGTCGTGTGGTTCAGTATAAAGAAGCTTCAAGCTTGCCCTTACGGGAGGACACCTCTTGAAACTCAGAGCATAAAAAGTCTTCTTAGGTTAACTTTGAAGGGCCCGTGCTTCTGACATCATGCATTGACGACCTGGGAGTGCGTTCCCAAGACATTCTCCTGCCCGGAAACATAGCCTGGGATAATTACACATAATTAGGTCAGAGAGAGAGCGAGAGACTGCAAGCTTCTAGAAACAGCTGAGAACTGACTGCATCTCTCTCTGACCCATTTACGCATGTAAATATTTCCCAAAATCGGAACTGCCTGGCACAAACATTCTGGCATCATTAAATTGCAACACAGCGGTCTGCTGTAAGGGGGAATGAACTGCAATGCAAACCTTCAGTGCATTTATTCTCTCCCCCCCCCCATGCCTGTCATCAACCACTGTGGTCAATTAAATCAACAGGGCCTTTCTAGAGAAAGCTAGACTATGCACCACTGTCTTCCTTGCAACCAGAAAGGAAATACCACGGCTACTTTTTACACAGTATGGAGTTCAGACTGCATGTGGCTGTCTTGAAGACCGCTTCTATTTCTCATATAAAACAAGGAAAAGAATTGACCAATCTGAGCCCGGAGGCGTGTCCAGTACAGACCTATCACTGTTTAGTTTTTCAGTCACTCAGTGATAGAGCACCTGCTTGGCACGCAGAAGGTCACAGGTTAATTCCCAGTATCCCCAGTTAAAAATATCAAGTAGTGGGTGATGTGAAAGATCTCAGTGTGGAAACTAAGTAGACAATTCTAGGCCTGATGGCCTGATTCAGTGTAAGGCAGCTTCATGTGTTTATACGTTTAAAATCTGAAATATAGGCCATAGTTTTAATACCTAACAAAACGCATTAGAGATCGATCTCTGAAAACACCCAGCGCACAGAGCGACGATCCATTCATTTCACACTGCCCACAAGAATGATTTTATCGTTTATTTTTACAAGACTACAAGATGGCACGAATCCAGCACTATCCCCAAAGTGCCTTTTTTGCTCTGTGCTCCCAAAATCTACAAAACCCCAAATCTAGCAGAAAGTATAAACATTAAAATGAGTTCTATTTCCGAAGTAGCTGCCTCTCCGCTTGATGCTGCTTGTTTCTGTATCAGTCACATAGAGTAAACAAGGGCCTAACTAATAAGGTTCACATAGAGGTTCTAATACATTGTTTTCTATTGAATTTGCAGTTGAAAGGATTTCTTCTTCTCTAGGACGAAACAACCCACCCTCCCTTTTAACCCTAGCCGAAAGGGTTAATGCACCTTCTGTGCATTAAACCAGTCTAAAATCATTCAATGACCTATGTGTGACAGAAAGCCTAAAACTTACTAAGACTCAAGTGTGCATCTGGGATCTTGGATACCATTAGAATGAGGCATTCACTTCCATTACACACTGGGCCATCCTGACAGACTTAATCCCTTTTGGACCAAAGACCAGGGGTCATTTCGTAGAAAAAGAGCTAGGGGAACTCATTAGCATAACTCATTAGCATATGCCACACCCCCTGACATCACCGGAAGTGTGTCATAAGGCCACACCTCCTGACATCACTGGAAATGTGTCATAAGGCCACACACCCCGCCCCCAAAGGTCCCGGCCGCCGCCCTTGCAGCTCCACACCTCACGCTGTGGCGCTGAGGGGAGTGTGAACATTTTGGCGTTTTGCTTTGTGGCGGCTCATGCAAATCACCACATTGTAATCCTCCAGCGATGAACATTCCTGTGTAAACACACCTGTGCTGGAAAGCACTCTTGGTACAAAATAATTCTTTTCATGCCACTCTCAGACCGCATTAAGCTGCAGGCTTAAGAATGTTTCCCAGAGAGTAAGCCCCATCGACGAAAATGGGACTTACGTCTAAGTATAGACCTGCTTAGGATTGCTGTCTTAAGTTTTGTTTAAACAGTATATGAATGAATCGGTCTGTAAACATTCAGACTCTTGCTGGCTTGCTTCATTAGGACCTCGATTGTTAAGTGGCATGCTGTTTTGTGCATTGTAATTTCACACAGGTAAAAACGGAGATCTCCTTCCAACTACCGAAGAAGCAGAGGAGCTGGAGCGGGCCCTGCAGGCGGTAACTTCTCTTGAGTGCCTGAGTACTATCGGAGTACTCACACAGACTGACGGCGTGCCTGTTCAGGAGCTCTCGGACAGAGGGATAGGGGTGTTCTCTACGGGCGTGGGGACTCCAGGGATTCAGTCCTTGAGCCGAGAAGTCAACGCGGATCTTGGCGAGCTGCTCAACGGGCGCATAGTCCACGATGATAATTTCTCTAGCCTGGATCTGGACGACAGCTTGCTCCGTTCTGCTACCTTATCCAATCCACCGACGCCCCTGTCAGGGCAGATTCAGGGGCAATTCTCCGCCCCAGCCAACGTTGGCCTTACTTCTGCCACTCTGATAAGCCAGAGTGGGCTTGGGGAGAGAGACTTCCCAGGACAGTTCCAAGGACTTCATGATGGCAGCCATGCCTCCCAGAGGCCACACCCTGCCCAGCTGCTAAGCAAGGCAGATGACCTAATCACCTCACGACAGCAATACAGCAGTGACCATTCACACTCCTCACCCCACGGAAGCCATTACGACAGTGAGCACGTGCCGTCTCCCTACAGCGACCACATCACGTCCCCCCACGCCGCCTCCTACTCTGGCGATAACTTGGCAGCTACTTTTTCCACGGAGATGCCCATCATAGCACAGCACTTGCTACCATCGCAGCTCGAGGTGCCGCTCAGCGGGGTGGTGAACCCCAGAACTCACTGGGGGAGCCTCCCCGTCAGCCTCAGTGACCCTTCTCCGTTCAGCAATCTCCTCGGCGCGGACGGGCACCTCCTTTCCACCTCCTTGTCCACGCCGCCTACCACGTCGCACTCAGAGACCACACAGCCTGCCTTCGCCACCGTGACCCCCAACAGTTCCAGTGTGCTCCCAGGGTTACCGCAGACCAGTTTCAGTGGCATGGGGGCTGCGTCTTCTGAACTCATGGCCTCCACCTCCCCCAAGCAGCAGCTCCCGCAGTTCAGCGCTGCCTTTGGCCATCAACTGAGCTCACACAGTGGCATTCCCAAGGACCTGCAGCCCAGCCACAGTTCCATAGCGCCCCCTACGGGATTCACAGTAACAGGTGCCACAGCTACTAGTACCAATAATGGATCTGCTCCCTTCACCACCTCCAGTTGAGCTTGTCTGTCAATGAATTTCAGACAGTAGGGGACCCCACGTCCCCCCCCCCGTGTCACCCCTTCCCCTCCTATCTTCTCTTTCCTCATTTTTGTCATCCCCTTCTTTTTAAAAGACAATTTTTTTATTAAATAAAAAAGAGGGGGCTAAAAATAAAAGTCCTGATTCAGTACAGACCAGGGTTTCCCTGTTGCTAGGCTCTGCTCTAATGATCTTATGTGCTGTTTATGTATTGGTGCTCATTTACTTCTGGCAGGTTCACTATGCCCCAGTTTAAATACCCCTAGGAAATATACAGTACAGTTGCTGGATGTAATTGACCTTAGATCGAGAAATGAGAAGATACCTCAGATAAAACTAATGCAAGTTCTTGTTTTCCTGAAGTTCAGATCAGAGCTTTCAGTCCCATTAGCATTTGGGGAGGCGGGGGAGGGGCAGGCAATTGCTTTATTATATACATATATATATTTTTAAAGGCGCGAATGGGATGAAAGGCAGATCAACCTTCTGATTGGGTAATTAGGCACTGTAGAATTAAGCCAAGACCACTGTTGAGTTATTCTGTCAACAGTGTGGTTTTGAACTCCTCATGTGCAAGGGTGTGTGTGTATGTGTGTATTTGCTGGGTACCTCATAGTTTTTTTCTTCTCCCGAAGCAGTCATTTGAAACCAGTAACTGTTCCTGTTCATTTCTTACAACAAGATCTATTAAACTGGTGAAGAATTGGTTTGGAAGGTTATCGAATTTTGGGTTCAGGCTATCTAAAGTTGCTATTAAAAAGTTTAGAATGGGAGGAGGAAAGAGAGAAAAGGAAGTGCTGAGTATCGGAATAATGACCCTACTCTCATAAGACGTCTATTTCAGAATCCGATTATTATAGTAGTGTTGATTTGGTCTTAGGCGTTATCCAGAACTTCCGACGTGGATTGTATTTTTAATGGAATCAGTGCTTTTTGAACCCCATTTACCATACAAACCAATCTGAGTCGGAACACCTTAGTGATTTTACCAGGTTGTCACAATCTCTGTATAATTGGGGCTCCTGAACATTCTTAAACTGATATTTGAGCCCTTTTTATTATAGGTACCCTATTATACGTTAGCCAACTTTTGCGGGAAGCCAAGTGTGAGAGGAAACCAACTGGTTTTCTAACTAGAAAAGAAGCTTCTGGAACCGAGACAGGTGCTGTCCTATCTTCTCTCACTGGCCTTGCTAATAAATAAGTCAGAAGTGCAAAAGATTCAATTTGTACCCCTTCATGCTCTCTGAAGAGCCACAATAATTGATTTGTGAGGCGTTAGTCAAAATAAGGCCTACTTCCCTTGAGGTACTTTTTTTTCCCCTGCAGAGGGGAAAAATGTTGTTCGTGAGGCAATCCACAGTTAAACTATTTCTCTCTTTTCTGCTCCCCCACCTCCCAAATTTCTATCAGAACAGGATTTCTGCTTGTGGCGATTTTAATCCCCCCCCCCCCAGTTTTTTAGTAGGTTAACACATGGTTTCTTTCCCTCATGAAGTCAAGTTCTACTCAGCGGAGATAATCAGAATCCCTTGCTCTTTGTTTCATTTTCTGAGGTTGGCACGGTCAAACTTTCCCACACCAGCCCCAGAAAATCTTTTGTTATCTCTGATATGCAATTTCACCTGATTAAAAATGTTACAGACTGTTTTAATTGGTTTAAGACTGGGATTAAGAGAGAACTCGGCAGCTCCTTTAGGACCAAAGAGCCTCGCAATTAGTTTCCTACCATCCATTACAGCGGTGCTGAAGTGCAATTCTGACCACAGGCCTTCCGTCCTAACGTTTGAGAGCGCGGAGGGCTTCAGGGCTCGAGTCTCCTGTTATCCCACGAAGTTAGAATCATTTCCTTCCTTTGCTGTTTATTATTTCAAACGGATCAGAGACTAGGGATTAAAACTGCAGGCGTATGTAGGTGGGAAAGGTTTTCGTGCTTTGAACCTTGTGAAGTCCCGTCACACCCATGCCCGCCAAAACATATCTGATTAAACAGTCTCATGAATGACAAAGCGGTCCAAACTATGTTTCCGATGAGAGGGCTTTATGCCGTGTCAAGAGCTGAAGTGAAGCTTCCTTATTCTCCACTTCCAGGATGTGTTCTTTTCTCTGTCCGTGCTCAAGCAGGTAATTTTATTTTATTATTTACCCTGTGCTCCCCCCCCTCTTTTTTTTGTTTCTGTATGTTTTGAATGGGCAAACTTTGGTAACTTGCAGTGCAATCCTATGCAGAGTTATTCCAGTCTAAGCATGTTGATTTCAGTGGGTTTAGCTATGAACCAAATAGGGCTAAGCTAAACCATATATATGAAAAGGTACAAATATTTATTAAGGTGTACACATGTTAAAACCAGATGTTGCTTCTAGTATATGGATACTAGAATTCTGTAACAGGTCTTTGAATGTGTGTCTAGAATATATAGATAATAGTGACCACTGAGGAAGGCCCTTAGGGGCCGAAACGCGTATGGTCTTTGGTTGTAAAGTTTTTACCCATCATTTGTATGTATAGTGGACAAGCTTTTACAGTCTGATTTTAGACAAAGCAATTTTTAATCAGGAAAGTTTTAACATGTGTACACCTTAATAAATATTTGTACTTTTTCATATATATGGTTTAGCTTAACCCTATTTGGTTCATAGTCATACCCTGGGTTGAGTCCCCCCCCCTCCCCCAGTTTCAGTGGGTTTAGACCAGGGTACATCTGCAGAGGATTTCACTGTTTGACGAACTGCAAGCTCTTCTTTATACTTTGAGGGAACGTCATTTAGTGCTGCTCCCCGAAAAAGCAACCTAACCGCTTGGACCCAAAGAACCGACCTACAGACTCCTGCAGGCCACCAAAGGCCTTTTTCTAGACCCCCTTTTCCTACTGCAGTCTCCCCACATACGCTGAGACGTTTTCCATAAGGACGGTTCTCCCCGCGCTTGCGCTTGTATTCCTCTGCTGCTTTCCCTCATTCCCGCAGATGTTTTTGCAGTCCCAGGTGCAAAAATGCAGTTTGTTCCCTGTTGCTCCACAGCGTCAGACTTCCTTGTTTCCAGGAATCCCCACGCAGCACTACAAGAGGGGGCAAACTGCGTTTATGCTCCTGGGAGGGAGAAGTCATCTGCAGAAATCAGGGAAAGCCGCGGAGGAATAGAAGAGCAGGCAGGGGGGAACTTGACGCTGCGGAAAACGCCTGAGAGAGCTGCCTTGGAAAGCAGGACACGGGACCCTCCAGAGCAGGCTTCTGTGAGCCGAAGGGAGTTTTTTCCTGAAGGTAAAGCCAGCGCAGCTCTGAGTGAGAAGTGGCCGGTTGCAAATGTCACGGCAGCCCTTTCTGCTAGTTCTCAACCATATCCCACAGACGTCCCTTTTTAAAAAATTAAAAACAAAAAATTTGGCCCCGTTTCTGTCCCATGCAACGCCTTGCCTGTACATCTGGACATGGTGGCAGCCCATGCATGTGCCTCAGTGGGGAAAGTGTGGGAAGTTACCGTAAACCACACAGGGCAATGTATACAGGCCGGCCACTCAGTTTGGGGATGAAATTAAATGCCGCTTTTGTTATCTCAGATCATTCTGAAGGTCCGATTCAGAAAGGAGGCTTTTTGTTTGTCTTGTGTCACATCTTTTGTTCCTGTGCATGATTTTTTTAGATCTGTGGCATCATCCACTTTTGTGACATGCATGATGCAGAACATGATGTTTTTGCATGTGACAAAGGAAGGTTCTGTGCGTGAGAGTAGTATTTCCACAAATTTCTTCCCCTCTAAAGCAGATCCCGCAGAAATTTTCCAGCCGGGTGGGGTGGTGGGGGTAATTTTATTTTCTTTCGGTGCATTGAATAGAATAGCTCAGTTCGAAGGCCTATGTTTAGTTTGGTCCTGATGTGAAAATTCCAGTTCTTTATTCTAATGGTTGGTTCGCCAAAAAAACCAACAACGAAGAGTTACGTTTGCCACACCCGCTCTTCGATAAAGTCATGTTTAAATGAAAGTAAAATTACGTAGCAGTTCTTACGTAGGTGTCCATGTTTGCATGTGAAAAACAATTAGTTGGTCCCGGTGGGTTTTTTTTTGCTAAACATTGTGGATTATCTCCTGTATCACTGAGCAGTGGGACTTTTGTCTGATTTTCTCCCCTCATTCTTTTCCTGGTATTCTGCACTTAAGCTTTCCTGCCTTTTCAGAATTATGAGTTATGTGCTCGACTACAAAAAAGAGGAAACTGCTTCGTGTGGTCACCGGGGGGCACTATTTGGAAAGATTCTGATCTAGACAGGCTGAAACTGTGACCTTTCTTTTGTTCTTTCCCTTTTTTGTCAGCAAGTTAAGCAAAACTTGAGGTTGGAAAAAGGAGAAAATATTCAACAGAATTCCTCCCTAAGCCCTTACCCTTCTTGATGCGCATGCATACACATAGAGAGTCTGTAAATGTGTGAATCGGATGAATACGTTGGTCTACGGATGTGTCTTGGGGCCCATTTTACTTAAACTATGTAGGTAACATTCTCAAATACGTGCTATCAAAATTGCAGTGCAGTTGACTTCTAGACAGCTACCCGCTTACGCCGTTGCTTGTATCACGGGGTAGGCTGATTTACCCTGAAATGACGCTCTAATCTGTATCTTAAAAGAAAAAAGATAGACTAGAAAAAGGTCCAGTCTGAAAAGACGGGACAGTGGAGTTAGGCGTGGGCGTGTCTATGCCCATGGGCTGGGGGGCTGAACCAGTTTCTCTGAATGGTGATGTTAATCACTGTCCAGTGTGGGGCATGTCTCAGGGATTCCTTGTGGAAATAAGGGCAGTTAAGGTAGTTTTAATCGAGTAAACTAGTTTTTAAGGTAGAACATCATCAAAGCATGAGCGCATGGAAGAGAAAAATGCCCTGTTCCTATTTTGTAGCCTGTAGTGTGTTGTGTGTGGGGCTGATTTCTCTTCTTAAAAACTGTGCTCATGTACAACGTACAAAATTGTTTCCCCCCCCCCATTATG